TTTTTACGATCAGTGCAATGCATGATGGTATGTTGGGCTTAGGTTAGTGACCATCGGTTGTACACTACTTTTCAAAATGCATTCTGGGATACATTGATTGGACTATATAGGGTATAATAATCATCACTATACATTCGGACAGCACTACAAAATGGCGAGCTCACTATATAGTCCACTATATAGTGAGTAATGGGAGATTTCGGACACAGCGGGTGTCTTTGTCTAGTATTGTATGTTTCTTGTCCAGGTTGCCTGTCGTTGTTCCTGTTCCTGTTCCATACCTTTGTTTTGTGTTTTGAGTTTTGATTAAATTATATTAAAGTTTGCTTTTGGGTCCTTACCTGCTTGCCCTCCAGCCATTCATTACAGAATACTAGACCATAGTGATGGGCAGATCGAGGCTTAAACGGTCATGAAACCCCAAACCAAATTTTCTGAGATTTTAACAGAGGTATGTGTGTTGAACACCATTGAAGACAATGTTAGCATCTGTTAGATTTAATAATAAGGTTAAAATGGTTAAATTTGAGTTTTTTTCCACTTTTTTCGTCTTCCGGGTTTAAAATCTTCATCGTAGCGGGTGACGTGGCCATGCACTGCACAGTGCGTTGATGACTCATCGGTGTCTCATAATTATTAATGAGACTGAGTTTTCTTATCCAATGAGAAGACACGGCCTCTTAATTATTCATGACACCACGTGGATCTTTCCAACGACAGACATGTCAAACAAACTGTGATATCGCGTAGTAGATGAGAGAGGCAATCATGGGACGCAAGTATTTGTTTTCATGGTGCAAAGTCCAAGTGCGTTAAATATGTTCCCCGCGATGCTGCCCGGGCTAGACTCTGGCTCTGGACGTTTGGTTTGCCATCAACCACGGAACATCTAAACATGATCAAAACTAAGTTATAGTGTGTGCCGCGAACATTTTCTCGAGAGAGCTGCGAGAAGTGGAGAATGGGGACTTCGCCTTGTTGACAACTAATCCAAGTGTGTCTTGCGAGTGATGCAGCATCCCGAGGACTTTCTATCCCTTCAGATGTGTGTGTGTGTGTCTAAAATGAGAAGTCATCCACCTCCGCAGAGCCTTTATTATGAGGGTTCAGAGGGCGCGTAGACTATGCACGGAATGATTTTTAAAAAAAAAATTTTTATTAGATTTAAAATTTTGACAATAAACACACCAAAAAGAAACAGAACAAACAACAACCTATCTACCAATCCCTCCCACCCACCCCGCGGTCTCTTTATAATGGGGTACAAAATGGACAGATAAGTCAACAAAAAAACAGTCACAGGAAATATAAAACATTTAAAAAAATAAAAAAATAAGAGAAATGGGATAAAGTGTTCAAACTGAGTCCTGAACATTGCTTTGCGCAATATACTTGGAGACCTTATCAGCGGCTGTTGTGCAAATTTTTAGTGTTGAGATTTGAGCCAAGTTCACCCGAGCTGTGGATATTTCTAACATTATAATGTCCTAAAGTTGAAACAACCACTTGAATATATCCAAGGTATGTGGTGGGAGCCAGTGTTGAGCTAAGAGTTTTTTTGCAGACGTTAAGCCGGCCAGGTAGACAATTTTTTGCTGCTTAGAGAAGTCAAACTCAGAGTCATCATTCAGCAATAATACAGAGGGTATCACCGGAATCGAATATTCAATGATTTTCGATAAGATACCACATACCTCAGACCAAAAATGTTTAACCTTTTCACATTCCCACATCATATGGAAAAAGGAACCAAGTTGTTGGTCAGGACATTTATCGCAAAAAGGATTGAAGGAGGAGTCAATACGATGTCTTTTCAGTGGGGTCCAATAAGTTCTGTGACAGAAGTTATAGTGAATCATTTGGTGATTGGGATTCCTAGATGAAGTGAAAATGTTCTGCCATACTCTTCCCCAGTCGGTGACATCCTCCTGTTGTTCACAGTCTCTTTGCCATGCACGCTTTATAGCTAGGCCATTTGCTGAAGCACGGAATGATTTTTTTAAGCGGAAAATTAATAATTTTTTTCTGAAATGTATTTATAGTGTTTATATATATACTATAATGATTATATATACATTATAATTATACATATGATTATAATTAACTATGTAGACCTATATTATATGTTTAAATAGATATTATAACGATTACTGTACGAGGCTACTATATGTTTTAGAATTACGATTATGTAGGCTAATATAGTAGCAGGACATTCAGTTACTTTTGAAAGGACAAATAATAAAGTGTCAGTGTATTTCATAAGACTTTAACTTTGCCAGTTATCCACAAGTTTCCGAGGGGCGCTCCTGTAAAAAATAAAGTGGGTGAAACTTCCGGTGACACGGCGGAAGTAGCATTCCAATGTTATTTTGTGTGTTAGTTAGCGAAGAGGCTAGCTGTTTTTCGGAGAATTATTTTACTATTTAAAGACGCAAATCTTTATGAGAGATGTCGTTACGGAGCTCAGGGACAACATGTGCTGTTCGCGGTTGTATGTATAACCGGACTAAACTAAACGTGATTGTTTTGAACATAAGCTGAAAACGAAATCTGAGTGATCCTGCAGAGCCCGTCTCTGATCCTGCCAATGACTGTAGTTTCCATCACCTCCCAAAAGACGACGAATCTTCCTGTGTACATTTGTTTAAATTCTTAATATTCTATAAACTCTATCAGCATGTGATACTGTTCGCTACTGATGTTACACCTAAACTCAGGATCAAAGCCTGTGTTGACAGAATACCAAATGTGCCAGTAATGTATTCAAGTAGCACATTCATTTATAATTTTGAATAAACTCCAAAGCACAATGACTAAGTGTATTTTTTTATTTTAATTGTTTGTCAGCTCGCACAACTGTCTGTCACCATGCCTTGTCTTGATGAGTATTGATTATTAATGTTATTATAATACTCCCAATCAACTACTGCGGACGGTAAAGGTACTGTTATTTCACCCTTTTGAATTTCGTTGAGGTTGTGTTCCCACATCGTTAGCTAGTTTGGATCGCTATAACTTGAATGACTGTCAACTGTTGAATGAACGAGTGTCAAGCATGTCAAATCGCGCTTTGTTTACTTCCAACCGGAAGTCGCGCCCACTTTTGACGCAAGGCCTCATGGGGCGTAGGAAACTTGTGGATATATAAAAATCTAGCATCTCCTCACGTTTTACCATTGCTTCTTAGTGACAGTCGATATGCATGGATGGGACATTGACGTGATGGCCATACCACACACACTCCCTCCCTTCTTCTCACAGCTAGCCACGCCCGTTTAAGTTGCATTTTTCAAAAAGATTTTGAGCTAGACTTGAGCTGAAAGAGGGGGGTTTCATGACCCTTTAATGTTGTTGGTCAGGACATTTATATGCATGTGGTTTCATGACTCTTTAATGAAGCTATGAAACAGTTGAAGCAAATGTGCCATTTTGTTTCGACGCTTCGAATCAATCCGACACCCGTCTCCATGGCGACACCTAGTGGTTTTCTAAAATATGAAGCTTGTAACCTGTAGTCTCTTCACATTGCATAATGTTATTTTAGTCATGAAAAATTTATAAAATAAATCAAGCCACAATGTCTCCGTTTCTTTTTTTTTTTTTTATTCTTTTTAAGATTTTTATTCAAAAATATGAATTTCTCTATATGTATATACATGTTGCGGCCACGAAAATGGCACTTGTTACAGAAAAAAAACATGTTACAGTAGTCTGCCCCCGAGCCAGTGTGTGTGTCTGCCCCCGAGCCAGTGTGTGTGTCTGCCCCCGAGCCAGTGTGTGTGTCTGCCCCCGAGCCAGTGTGTGTGTCTGCCCCCGAGCCAGTGTGTGTGTCTGCCCCCGAGCCAGTGTGTGTGTCTGCCCCCGAGCCAGTGTGTGTGTCTGCCCCCGAGCCAGTGTGTGTGTCTGCCCCCGAACCAGTGTGTGTGTCTGCCCCCGAGCCAGTGTGTGTGTCTGCCCCCGAACCAGTGTGTGTGTCTGCCCCGAGCCAGTGTGTGTGTCTGCCCCCGAGCCAGTGTGTGTGTCTGCCCCCGAACCAGTGTGTGTGTCTGCCCCGAGCTAGTGTGTGTGTCTGCCCCCGAGCTAGTGTGTGTGTCTGCCCCCGAGCTAGTGTGTGTGTCTGCCCCCGAACCAGTGTGTGTGTCTGCCCCGAACCAGTGTGTGTGTCTGCCCCCGAACCAGTGTGTGTGTCTGCCCCGAACCAGTGTGTGTGTCTGCCCCCGAACCAGTGTGTGTGTCTGCCCCCGAACCAGTGTGTGTGTCTGCCCCCGAGCTAGTGTGTGTGTCTGCCCCCGAGCTAGTGTGTGTGTCTGCCCCCGAAGCTAGTGTGTGTGTTTGCCCCGAACCAGTGTGTGTGTCTGCCCCCGAACCAGTGTGTGTGTCTGCCCCCGAACTAGTGTGTGTGTCTGCCCCCGAACCAGTGTGTGTGTTTGCCCCGAACCAGTGTGTGTGTCTGCCCCCGAACCAGTGTGTGTGTCTGCCCCCGAACCAGTGTGTGTGTCTGCCCCCGAACCAGTGTGTGTGTCTGCCCCCGAACCAGTGTGTGTGTCTGCCCCGAACCAGTGTGTGTGTCTGCCCCCGAACCAGTGTGTGTGTCTGCCGCCGAACTAGTGTGTGTGTTTGCCCCGAACCAGTGTGTGTTGCCCCCGAACCAGTGTGTGTGTCTGCCCCCGAACCAGTGTGTGTGTCGGCCCCCGAGCCAGTGTGTGTGTCGTCCCCCGAACACACTGGTTCAGCGGCAGACACACACACTGGCTTGGGGGTAGACACACACACTGCCTCAGGGGCCGACACACACACTGCTTCGGGGGCAGACACACACACTGGCTCGGGGGCAGACACACACATTGGCTCGGGGACAGACCGACTGTTTTTTCTGTGTTGTTGTTGTTTTGTGTGTTGAGTTTTGATTAAGTTATATTAAAGTTTGCTTTTGGGTCCTTCTTTGCTTGACTCCAGCCATCCATTACGGTACAATATTCGCTGATTTTTGGACCACATCACGCTTTTGATCGCGTCTCTTAGTGGCAGCGGGGGTATGTAGAGTTGAAGAAGACACAACCGGAAGCTTTTGTTGTTGAAAACTCTCATCAGAGATCGAAACCTTCACCCAGGTACTGCTCCAGACAGCTCCTCAGTCGTTGGTTCTCCTGTAACTGAAGCTCTTTCTCTCGCTTCAGACACAAACTGTCGAGCTTCACCTTGTTGTGACGCTGCCAAAACTTCTCAAAAGAAGCATTGTCATGTGTTAGCTGTGGGGAGAGAATAGGACAAGGAGAGATAAGTCAAAAGACAACACACATTATATATTGAATTTAACAGATGACTAGAATAGTGCAAAAGAAATGCTAGGACACATCAAATCAAAGTAATGAAACTGCATGAAATATCTGAATTTTAACAAACCGGAGTGAGTTCCTCATCCGCCGACTTCATGGCATTGGCTTTCACCTGACTCAGCTCTTCTTCACTCAACGATGACTTGTAGAAGGGCAGAACCTTCTCGTACTTCGTCTCCATCTTATTGCACAGCTTAGAGTAACGCAATAACCTTTCCCCCTATGGAAGAGACAGAATGGGTGAGTGACTGGATATTGAGAGTATTGCTAAAATTAATTCACTTAGTTCCGGAATGACATAATCTCTACTTCCAATAAATATACAAAATGCATCCCTGTTGTCCCTGTTATAACAATGATTAGGGGTTTCTACCGCAGACAGCAACACAGTGTCGGCCCAGACCTGGCCCAAATCTGGTACGAGTTAAACCCACAAGTATCAGATGTGGCCCGGATCTGGGCAGTTGCTGTCTGGGACACCATTCCTATTTACCCGTCATTTCCCTCTGATTTGAGAAGTTATGGTTAGGGTTAGGTTTAGATTTAGAGGTTTTTGGACAGAAATGTTGTTGCAGGATCAACAAAACATAACTATTACTTGAAGGCATAAAGCACTTTGGAAAATTGTAAAAAAAAATTCAATAAAATATGAGTGTATATATTAAATGTGGGTGTAATCAACTTACCATAGCTGTTGTCTCCTGTAGTTTTTCAGTAATATTTTTGAACTGAATGACAGGTTTAGTGGCCAGATTTGTCCGAGTGGTTTGGATCTCCTTGATCTGGTCTCTGAAGCGTTGAATATCCTGGACGCGCTTGACACAGTCTGAACGAAGTTGAACTGTTTCTTGGCATTCACCAGACATCAGCTCACATTCCAGATCTGAGATGGACTCCTGCAAAAGTTTAAATTGCATTAAAATCGGCAAAATAATGAAATATCACAATTGGAAGAAAAATGATTGTCCAAATTAGACAGAAACAAATGAATTTTTGCCTAACCTCCAATTCCTGAATGCACTGTTTATCTACCTCCACCTCTTTAAACTCGAGAAGCAGAGAGTCATATTCTTCTTTCTTTTTTTCGTATGAAACATCATTAAACTTCCAGAATTGAGATCTCGTCGGCTTGTATTCCCTCAGTTCTTCAATGACCTCTTTCATCTGTGTTTCCACTGTTTCATATTCGGCTTTGTGCTGCAGAAATAAAACAGACAACATATTATTAAGATTATGTTTTTGATTTATGATTATGTTTTATTTCCCCAACTGCTAACATCCTTTTGTCCAATCTGTAGTCACATTTCCAAAACTCTAAACTCTGTCTGGCCGACTTGGTCATTGTGCTCCCTTAGCTCAACTCCATTGGTGATCATTAAAGACTTTAAAGAGAAATAAATCTTTATTCTTCCAAACTTTTGATAAGTACTACTAGTGTACACTTGTAAACTCCTACATACATTTGTATATTTGTGTAATCAGTATTTTTGTAATCCATGATTTATTTATATTTGAATTGCACTGCATATTTTAGGTTAATCCAATAATTATGATTTTGCAAACCAAGACATTTACTTGAACTCTATTCTCTTTTTCTTCTTTTTTTTTGTATTTTTCCTTTGCTCTAGCTTGTTGACTAATTCTAGTTTTTACTAAACCCATAAATATGGCACTATGACAAATTGCTAGTGATGTTCCTCATTACTAAGTCATTTTGGATAACAGCATCTGCCAAATGAATAAATATAAACATAATAAAACCAGTACCTTTTTTCTGATTTGTTTGCAACTGTTCTCGTAGTCACGTCTCGCCTCAGGGTAAATCTTAGCGTTGTGCTTTTCCATGAAAAACGTTACATCCTTCAAATACGCACTCTCCTGCTCGCTCTGTGAATGAATCCGCTCCCTGGAAATGAAAAGAAATAACACACAGATGTTACTACATTGGCTCAATCCTTCGCAGTGCATTTTCATGTCCCCATTTAGATATTTTGTATAGAATATAATACTGTTTTTTGTGTGTAATCCTGTTCATGACATCACTTTTGGTGGGAAAACAGTGTAAACATCATTGTCTATTCAGCATTTTCTAAAGTTAAAAGGTATATCCTAAAAAGAATGATCCGATTTAAATTGTCAGGAACTGGTAAACTGGCCAGCCCTTAAAAAAAACAAAACTCTACTTTTGTGTGATTGTTTGTGTGTGTTACCTTTCAGTATCATACTCTGAGCGAAGTTCTTCGAGTTTGTTGTTGAAGTCGAGTGCTTGTTTTTCCAGCCGAAGCACATGACGCTTTAACAGACTGTCCATGCTCTGCTGATGAGAAGTGCGTGACAGCTCTGACCGCCGCTCCATCTTCGACAGCTCATCCACCATGCTCTGTAAAACATACACACATTTGTTACTCCAAGGCTCTGTAATGAAAGTTATAGAAGTAAAACTGAGAGTCAAGTATATATATATATATGTTATATATGTAGTCACCTTAATGAGGTTGTCTTGGACTCTTTCGGCTCTCTCAAAGCTCTGGCTGAGGTTTGAGCTGTCATCTCGGGAAGAGCCGGGGATAGGAGGGAGCTTGACACACTGCCCTCGGCTGGACATCCGGGACCTTTCTCTCAGCACAATTGTGTTACGGAAACTGCGAGTGATCTCCTGTTGATACATAAGAATAAGAAAACACCTTAATACAATGCTCAACATATGAACGCAAGCTTAGTGTTAATAATGACCGATGATGGTTGAAAAAACACAGTGAATCCTATGATAGACTTCTTACTTACCCTCTTCATCTCAATTTCTTCTGGGTGTTGTTGAGGCGCTGGTCGTTGTCTCAGTCTAGGAAGTGGCTGAGGTCGCACTGCAGACGGTGGTTGAGGTCGCAGTTTAGACGGTGGTTGAGGCCGCAGTTTACATGGTGGTAGAGGTTGCAGTGTAGGCATGTCCGAACCACTCTTACGTTCCAGGGGCCTGAGCGTGCGAAATGTTTTGCTAGTCATGATGGAAAATAGTACGTTGATCCAAAATCCGACAGGTCAAATTTTATGATCTGAAACCGTACACAGCTGTAATGTGCAATTCAACTGTTCAAAAACAGACCCAAACAGATATAAAATTGCACACTAATCAATAGCTGTAGACTATAAAACTGCACACTAACAGACTATGAAACTGCACTCTAATCAACAACTGTAGACTGAAGACAACAAGTCACGAGTTTCAGTAGAGGTTTGCAGCGTCTAGTACTGTGACGTGTCGAATAGAATGCATTCCGATGACGTCCGGCAGCAGCAGTGCGTCAGAGCCGCAGAAATTCAAGGTTATTGTTTTGATTTAAAAACTTTAAGAGAGAATGACCTGTCAGCACAATAAGTCTATGAGAGGAATGTAGATAAGGCTACTTGTAGTAATAATACATAGCCTATATATTTTGCGTCACTAAACTGTAGAGCATCAGCCACAAGTTTCTGCACGGCCCTAACTAACTAACTAACCCAAAGCATATAACGTTAATGTATTATTCTGTCACGTTATACGATGAAGGTTGAGTCCAACAATAATTCAGTTTACTGACTTTCTCTCACCGACGACGTCTTGTTGAGCTTTTCTATTACATCGAGACGAGCTCTGATTCCGACTGATCTTACTTTAACTTCCGTTGCTCGTGTCTCCCGTGATCATGATAAATGTTTTGCCTTGGAAAACCATTAACGTTAGCCTATAAAGAATACGCCTACAATTTGGCGCGTTGAGTCAGAATGTCAATAAGGAATAGAAATACACAAACAATGACATAAAAAGTAAATAAATATGAAATAATACAAATGCTAAAAAATAACGTCTGATAACATGAAGGTTCGGATCCGACTCAGATAATAATATTGTCACTCGCACAATGTCAGTACTGTGACTGTCTAATGTATAATATCAAAATAAAAGCCCTCTAACAGCTGTTTTGTCGATCAAACCAGATTGGTATAAAAACTAAGAAAACTCAGCATTCCCTGCGCTGACCAATTTCCCTCCAGATTGATATACCCCTCCTCAGAGTCAGAAATAACCACAAATACATCCAAAAATATTTTGCTACAAATTACAAATACTTGATCATCAAATGTATCAAAATAAAATACAAAATTGTTTCACCATTTTATCATCAAATGGCCTGTGTTATTGGCTCCGTAACATGCATAAGCTAATTATATTTGACTGAATGCCTGCGTTGAAATATTTGACTTTATACTCCGAACACTATGAACATTATGAACTAACATTATGAACACTAACGAGGTGAAGATAGGTGACTCAGATGATAAAGACGATGAACAGGTGGATGATTGAGGGACTGAGATCAGGTGTGGAAACAAGAGGATCCTGGGAAGTTTTTTTTAATTTTTTTTTTTATTAATGCCAAGGTATCAAAAATACAATTAAATTACAACAATATACAAATTGCACATAGGAGAAATAATGAAAACAATACAGCACATATGCATATAGCCATAATATACATACAAAAAAATAAAAATAAATAAAACAGAACAGAATGCATTAATAAATTAAATTAAAAAGTTCAAACAAGTTTATGGTCTTAAGAGCTTTAAGATTCTTGGATGATGAGATACTTTGGATGTATTGCTGAACCTCTCTACTAAAAACAATGAATAAGGGATTCTGCTGCGTAAATTTACTACGGTGAATGTGAAATTTTGCAAGGAATAACAACAAATTAATAATATAATACTCATTAAATTTAGCTTTTTCTATATTAAAGAAGCCAAACAGTACATCCTTAAAGAGCAAGGAAAAACCCGGAATCACATTGTGTTTAATGAAATTAGAAAATTCAACCCAAAATAACTGTGTATGAGGACAGTCCCAGAATATATGGAGAGCAGTCTCGTCAGGTGCGCCACAAAAAGAACACTTAGTGTCTAGATCTGACTTAAATTCTTTTCAAAAAGGCTTTAGCAGGGTAACACTTGTGTAATAATTTAAATGAAATTTCTCTAATCTTGTTAGTTATTATATATTTCAAAGGCAGAGTCCATACTTTTTTCCAATCAATATGATCAAATAAATTCATCCAATTTGAAGCCACATATGGAATTGTTACAAGCTCTTTTTGAAAGAGTGATCTAATTCTAATATTAAGTGATGATTTATTTGACAGAAAGCATAATTTTCCTATTGGGTGTTCAAATGGGTTTAACTGAGGAAAAGTGTCAGATGATCTAACAAAGTCCTTTAGAAGCATAACAACTCCATTAGGAATCGCGTCCATTACAATGGAAAATTCCTTGGGAGTTACTGGGAAATTGAATTTACATAAAAACTCTTCATAATTTAAAATATATCCTTCAGAATTCAGTAACTGGGAAACAGTCAACACATTTTTCTCAAACCAATTACTAAAAAACAAAGATTTCTTCTTATATACAATATTTTGATTGTTCCAAATGAAGTAACGGTGAGGGGAAAAATTGTGTTTAAAGATTAAAGACCATGCAAGTAATGCTTGCTTGTGGAACTTTGATAAGTTGTAAGGGACTCTAGCAATATTATAATTGCACACCAATAAGAAAGGGAGACCACCTAATTTCGAAAAATAGTAATTAGGGATAAAGTTCCAGATTGAATTTGGATTACATAAAAAATGTCTAAGCCAGTTAATTTTAAAAGTGTTGTTCAGAGATAAGAAATCCAAAAAATTTAAGCCGCCTTTATCATACGTATTCATGATTACTGACTTCTTAACATAATGTATTTTGTTCTTCCAAATGAAATTGAAGAGAATTTTATCAACTGACCTACACATTTTGTTGTCCACATTTAGAGAGAGTGCAGGGTATGTTAACCTGGAAATGCCCTCCGCCTTAGCAAGCAGTGCTCTGCCTCTCAAGGTCAAGTCTCTCTGCAACCATAGATTAAATCTTCTTTGGGCTTTAACTATAACAGGGTCAAAATTCAAGGTACATCTGTTAACTTGATCTTTACTGACCACAATGCCTAAATAAGTAACTACAGATTTAACTGGAATATTATAAAAGGAGGGTGTTGTGCAATCTTTAATAGACATTAACTCACATTTACTTAAGTTTAGATTAAGTCCTGAAGCTTTAGAGAATAGATTTATACAATTAATTGCCAATGGGATTTGGGAAGCATCTCTTAAAAATAAGGTGGTGTCATCCACTAATTGACTGATAAAAACTTCTCTATCTGCTATATGGATAATACCGCTTTCACAGATGAATGTTGAGAGTAGCTGCACACAAATTAAAAATAAATAGGGGGAAATGGGGCATCCTTGTCTGACTCCTCTAGACAAACTAAACCTTGGGGATGTGCCACTCTTTAATTTAATCGAACAGCTTCCATTATTGTAAAGAGTTTTGATTACTTTGCAAAATTTCTCCCCAAAACCAAATCTATGTAATGACTTAATAATGAATTGGTGCTCTAAAGAATCGAACGCCTTATAAAAATCTAAAAAAAGAATAAAGCTGTCCTCCTGTATCAATTCTGAATAATCTAAAAGATCAAGAACTAACCTTATATTATTAACAATATGTCTATTAGTCATGAAACCAGATTGCGTCTCATCTATTACAGAATCCAAAACAGATTTTAATCTTTTAGCAAACAAAAGAGCTACAATTTTATAATCATTGTTGAGCAGAGATACAGGACGCCAATTGTCAATTAAAAGTAGATCTTTTTTTGGGTTTTGGAATTAAAGTAATTAATCCTTGAGTGAGAGTTGGGGGGAGAGTCTCATTCTGTATACTTCTTCAAAAACCTTAAGCAAAAAAGGGGATAACTCTTCAGAAAATTGTTTGTAGAATTCTGCGCTTAGCCCGTCAGTTCCGAGGATCCTGGGAAGTGTCGTGAAAGACAGCTGCAGGATGACGTCTTTACTGTCTTTCTGGTCTTGAAAGTGGTATTTGCGTATAGACGGTCAATGGAGGAACAGAAATCATAAAAAAGTGTTTCATCGTGTGTTCTGAAGATGAACGAAAGTTTTATGGGTTTGGAACGACATGAGGATGAGTA